ACCCCACTTGTGGGATTATACTAGGTATGTTGTTGTTGTTGTTTTTGTTGTATATTTTCAATAAAAGGTCATGCCAATGGCACTTAAACATTTAAAATGCAAGCAATAGTGCAATTCCAACCCGCTCATCCCCATGAGCTAGGATCCACAATTTGAATCAAGTTCCAAACTATTTTACAATATGCGATTTTGGAGAAAACTTCCATGAAGTAGTAGGTTTCAACAAACCTTGATACGCTCCCAAAACTTCACCACAATTATCCAAGGTCTTCAACTAATTTCAGTCTACACAATAATATCTCACATGAGTCAAGAGTTGCCCAACGATACCCAACAAACCCATTTAGACCTTAGCTCTTGATTATAGGTACTTAGGATTCATATCTCCTACCATATGTGTTCACCCATGCTTAACAATCTCATTTATAGTACTTAATAGTCTATTGGGTTTATAAACAACTCAACCTCCATGTAATTTCCCAATTTACAATATATATTTTTTCCCAACTACCAACCATAAATACCCAACTAGGGTTTCATAAATACTCACACTCAACAACCTCCCAATATCATTAACACCATAAATACACTCAGATATACCTCATAAATGAGATTGGAGTATAGGAAATTACCTTTTGGAGCAAATCGTAGAAAAATCTCTTCTTTGGTGTTCTTGGTGATTCTTCAAGATTCAAGTGAATCTTATGAATTGAATTCATATATGTGTTAGTTCTAGCATCTAATGATGTTATAACATCAGAAATATGTCAAGAAATCATACCTTGAAGTGTATTAAGTGTAGGGATTGCCCATTTCTCTCTCTAGAATTCCAAGGCTCCAAAATCTTGCACCTTTTCCTCTCTCCCCGAACCCCTACTATTTGTAGAAATGATTTGTGTAGGCAAATTGCATAGCCTACGTAGCTTTCCTACGTAAGATTGTGTAGCCTATGCAACATAAGCCTCTCCCTCACCTAGCATGTTGTTTTTGCCCACGCAACCTGCGTAGGTAAAATGGAGGCTACGCAGGTCTGCTAGGATCTCTTCCTCCATCTTTTCCCAACCATTCCAAGTTATTCCTTTAACCACTCAACTTGGGGATCGTCAATCCTTCTTACCTTCATGCTCAAGTATCACAATGACATTGTTTCCCTCGTATAGGCTCTCACATATATCAATATCTCGTTAATCATTCTCCTACGCTTATATTAAGCTTGATTTTACTAAAAATAAATCCTGGTGTTTTACAATTACGTCTTCACCGTACCACCCGAGTGCTAACAAAAAGGCAGAATCAACTAACAAGGTAATTATTCATAACCTAAAAAATAAAGTTAGAAGATGCTAAGAACAAATGGTTGTATGAGCTACCGAGAGTGCTACGGGCATACCAGATAACAACAAAGTCAAGCACGGGAGAAACACCCTTCTCTCTCGTATACGGCTCGGAGGCTCTGATACTAGTAGAAGTTGGAGAGATAACTTTAAGGTTTTCCAGGGCGAACGAAGAAGCAAACAATGAAGCGTTATTGGTGAAGCTCGACTTGCTTGAAGAACACTAGGACCTTCATATGTAAGGATGGTGGACCAAAAGAAAAGGATAGAAAGGTATTATAATCGCAGGGCTAATCTCCGTTATTTTAAAGTGATAGATTTTGGTTTTGAGGAAGGTTAGTGAGAGCACTCGGGAAGTCAATGCCGGGAAGATAGGACTAACGTGGGAAGGTCCTTACCAGGTTTTAACTATCACCGGCAAATGATCATATAAATTGGAAAATCAAGATGGAGTCAAACTGCCCAACAATTGGAACATGACTCACCTCAAAAGGTATTATTGCTGATGTTTCCTGCCGATACTAAAAATATGTGATGAACTCTTTTTCCCTTCGACTCCCAATCTTGTTTTCTTGGCAAGGTTCTTAATAAGGCAGCAACGAAAAACATACTATGAAGGAAGCATCATCAGGAAAGGCAAGACCTTTAAATATCAAGGCACTAAAATTCTCACACCGGTGGTAAAAAAGCTATGTGGATGGTTAAATAATCTTTGGCTCGATGGCACACCTCACCTTCCATTATTCAAAAGGATTATTTAACCGTTCACCAGTTATTTTCATCGATGAAGCAACGATATGGATATAATACTTTTAGTGTTTGAATTCTCATACTTTGCATTCTAACACTGTGGGGGGGGAAATTCATGATATGGTACCAAGAGTGCCATGGAAACCAGGGTATGTAAGAATCGGGATAAATATCTCATCATGATTGGGGACTACATGATCAGCCCTATAGAAATAAGTTGTATAAATTAGCCACATATATTAGTAGCTTTATTTATTTAAGAAATAGAATGCCTATGTACTTTTAAAGATTGAGGGAATAAAACAAAGTCCTTGTATTTTTATCTTATTTCTTATCCTAATGATGAGTTAATTTTATCGTTTTAAAGTTAACAAAAACTTCAAATGCTTGTAGTGGAACGAACAGGAGACGTCCTCTTCAAGGCCACCATAAATATAAGGGTCCTCTCTTATGAAACCCTCACAGTAAAGGATAGATTTTAAAAGTGATTATGCTCGAATTCAAAAGTTATTGGATGGAGAAATATACCCGAAGCTTTATCAATTAAACATTAAAAAGATATTTTTGCACAACACTTAAGCAAAAAATTTCTTTTGTTGATTACAGTACCAAACTAATTAAAAAGTTTTGGAATAATTACAAAAGATAAAAGGGAAATTATGCACTATTCTGTGTTGCCGGAACCCGAAGGGAGAGAATAGTATTCATTTTCCCCAATGAAAGGAGGTTGTCCCCCTACCGATTTAGGGCCTTCTTCTTTTTCGGTCTTTTATTCGGATACCGAATACTCAGAACTAGTATTCGAGGAGTCAGTTTTAGTGGGCCGAGCAAAAAGGTTTTCATGAGCAGTTAACTCCAGTTCGAGGGCCTTGGCAATGCAATCATCAATATAGGCAATACCCATTTTGGCCTCATCCAAGGTCTTCCTCTTCATATGATATATAGCATAGGTCATCTTGAAGACGAGGGAATCTTCCAGATCCAAGAGTTTTGCTTTGAGTTTGTCAATTTCTGCCTGGAGCTTCTCTCTTTCAGCCTTCATGGCACGGAGGCGAGAATCAAGCTCAACATTTGTAGTCGAGTAAGCCAATTTTGATCCATAAACCTCTTCAGTCTCTCTTCCATTATGGACTTTTTCTCCTCAACAGTATTGACCACCTCGATTTGGAGCATAAGTTTGCCTTCAAATTATTGATTTGCTCCTTGAAGGTAGACTCGCGCTCGGCAGCAGCGATTACAGCATCCTGAAGATCGACCCACTTAGCCTTGGCCTCTCTAAGGTCTTTGTGCAGTTGAGAAGCTTCTTGGCTATGGGCCATTTTATCTTGCTCGATTTGTTATAACTGAGCCTCAAGTTCGTCCATTTGTGCAACTATTGCTTCCAACACTGAGAGGCATATGACAACCTAGTCCCTCTCAGCTAAAAGTTTTTCCTGCTCGGAAGCAAGTCCTTGTTTATCTAGAATCAACCTTTGCAGACCCTCAGAAGAAAGGAGACTGTCGTAAAAAGGTTAAAGTTAATGTTATCATGGCAACATGTAAATGGTAAAGAAGACAGAATGAAATTAGGATGATACATGTGCCATACTATGCATGTTGTTATTTATCAAGCACTCCCCAGAAAAGGAGCCTATCTTTTTCTAATCCTTTTCTGCAGCCAGCGGCTTCAGATAATTAGAAAGCTCTACTAGCTTGTATAAAATATGCAACCCTTTTGAAATCAAAAGAGTGGCACTTCGCCTCCCTCGAGGATCTTAGGAATGTGTTGAGTAATTGTTCCCCAAGTTCCTGTCGTCAGGAGACCGAGGGGGAGAATCATTCCTTTCTTGAGCAGCTGGTGCTGGCAGAGCGGATGTGATCGGTACCGGTGCAGAATTGATAGTGGGTATTGATGGGTAGGAAGTTGTTAGTGTAGATGGCGATGAGGCAGCCGGTATAGAGTGGGTAGCAATTGAGATCGGCTTAGTCCTCGGTAAAAGAGAAAGGTCAGGGGCTGAACTCCTCAAATTGGGAGCATCGGCACGGATCAGAAAACGAGAATCAAAATTTTCAACTAAACCCATTCCCCCCCCCC